TGTTGGGGTACTTTGTTAAACTGGAAGACCCTCCACCACACCTTGCTGATAAGAGACAGTTCTCCTCATGGTATATATAAAGAAATTGAGCCTCACCTGCTAAAGTGGAATCAAGATTCAGCGCCAGAAGTGTGGGGCTTTTAATTGTTAGCCCCAGGTCACAGGGATGACCTCAAAACTTAGCCTGGGTGCCTTCTGATCTATCAGTTGTGTTGTGGCTCTGAGTTTAGGGCAGTGGGAAATGGAGGTGGGGGACAGTTGACAGACTGTCGTCTGGGTGGAAGGTGTCATGGGGACACAATGATTCTTGCTCCACAGATTCACCCCTGGACCTCTTGGGGACATTGACAGATTATCCTCAAGACTGTCAGCAGCCCCAGAGCTTCCTGCTAGGACCTCACTACGTTGCCATCAGTGGCCCCGAGAGATGCCTGGGTCACATCCTCAGGGATGGGAACAGCACGGTACAAGAGGCGCTGGGTGTGCTTTAAGCTGCCAGGCTCGCCACCCTTATTTATCACCCTGGGTGTTGAAATGCAGGGAGCAGAAAAGGGAGGGCCTAGGGAAGTGCTGGATTCTGGAAAGAAGCCAGGAGTGGGAGATCTGGCCTGGTGACTTAATCCTCTTCTTTGGGTCTAAATACTTAAGGAGCCCCAAATCGGCAAGTGACTCTCCAGGAATGACCTGTTCTCCCTGCCTTTGTTCCCAGGTTCAGAAAGATAAGTTCTTCCAGGAAAATAGATTCCAGTGTGTGACTCTGGGCAAATTGCCTCCATCTCTGGACATGTTTTCTCGTGAGCTCAGTGCGAGCCGAGGGCCCACGGCATCCTAGTTATGCCGACGCGCCTTGGGATCGGAGTGGGGAGCCAGTTCACCTGGTAAGTGGCCCAGATGGGGAAGCAAATGGGCAGGTGTTCTATGCCCATCAATACCCACCTCCCTTCTGGTCACTCAAGCCCGGGTTTCCTTGGGAACCACCTTACTCTTCCCTCAATCCCTTCGGGTCCCATGAGGCTGACCCGACTCCTTTTACCAGTTTTCTGCCTCAGGTGCCTGGTGAAGGTTGAGCAATTACCAGTGCTGGGAGGATCAGAAGCCTGTGTGGGGCAGAGTAGGGGAGTGAAAAAAAGGGAGTTGTGTTTGAAGCCTTGAAGGTCATGTTCAAAAGGCACATGGCTCTGAGTCTGGGGCTGAGATATGAGATCGGGGCTGAGGTTGAACGTTGCCTTCAGGCAGCGGCCCAAGGGCTCCTGGAGCTTGCCCACGGACCCCAGGCGGTGTCTTCCACGTTCCTTCTCTGGGTCCTGCCACCAGCTCCTCCTGCCTGCTACCACCTTGACACATGGCAATGACTGGTCCCCATTTCCCTGAGAGCCGGGTGGTCACTTATGCCCGAACCACCTCGGGCACTGCCCAAGTGCTCTGTGTTTAAACGCCCTCAGCAGCCTGACAGTTTATGAGCTTTCTCTAGAACTCACCTCTGCCAGGCCTCGGGGAGACGCGGCCAGAGCCTGTGCACGCTCTCCAATTGAGGAGGAGGAAACTGGCTCCCAGCGCGGTCACCAGGCCACCCAAGGCCGCCCGGGTCTGTGTTGGCAGGGCTTACCCTGTCGGTGAAGCCCATGGCAGCTCCAAGCACCCCTCTCAACCCCCATCTCCAGGCAGGGAGAGCCTGGCTCAAGCCTTGCATTTATTCATCCATCCACTCATTCATTCATTCACTTGGCAGATATTTACTGAGAACATACTGCATATCAAATGCTGGAGGCAAACGAAGAAAGATGAGTAGTTATACAAGTAGTTAACCTCTTAGCACATAAAGAAGGGTTCACATAAAGGGGTAGGACTATGGGGAATTGGCTCTGATTTAAAAGTTGAACGGCACTAAGGGGCCCGTGCAAGCATGTGTCAGCAATATTTAGGAAGGAAGGAAGGAAGGAAGGGAGGGAGGGAGGGAGGGAGGGAGGGAGGGAGGGAGGAAGGAAGGAAGGAAGATCTCCTGCCTGTAGCATATCCCACAGATGGCTACCCCTCTCCTGAATGTTCTTATGACAATTACACCCTTCCATAGAGAGGTGAGGTCTTTGTCCCCTGCCTTGAACCTGGGAAGACCTTGACCAATGGAATGTAGAAGTTCCACTGAATGACTTCTGAAGCTAGTCATAACAGGTAACACTACTTCCACCTGGCTCTCTGGCGATGTGCACCTTTGTGGCCTTGAGTGGCCACGTAGGAAGCCTGGCTGCCCGAGGCCACCATGCTGAAGATACCACCTGAAGACGCTATGATGGAGGGTAGAGGGGAGGATGCCAAGGTGCTGACAGGTGAGTTAAAGAAGGCTTCAAGATGCCCCTAGCTCAGCCACTCTCTGATTGCGACCCCATGAGAGACCTGAGCTTACCGCCCTGCTGAGCTGCTCCCAAATCCCTGATACATAGAAACTCGGAGAGATAATAAATGGTTATTTTGGTTTTAAGCCACTTAGTATTGGGGTAACTGTTGGCAGCCACAGAAACTGGGAAACTGATGAAAGGTGGGGGTGAGAGCGGGTGGACAATAGCGCTCTGAACAAGAAAAGCATCACGTGCAAAGGTCCTGAGGTGAGAAGGGGGCACTGAAACAAAGGTGCAGATGTTGTTGGCAGGGCCGTTTTCCAGGCTTTCTAGAACGCTTCTTTCGATCCCATCTACGTTTCCACATTCATACAGAGAGACCCAAGTGTAATTTCAGGACTCCTGTCTATTTAAGCCTGTGCGGGGAAGGAAATTACATTTCATTCATTCATTCTTTCCATCAATAAGATTAAAGGTATTGCCGGTGCTAGGAGCTTCCCATCGTCATTTTCATGGCCCACAAGGAGGTTTAATACTCTCTCTGGTGCACAAATGAGGAGGCTAAGGCTGAGGGGGGCCGCTGTCCTTGCACACTGTCCTGGGATGGTAAGTGGGAGAAGTAGGTGGGGCTCTGGGGCCAGCCTGGAGGCTAAGCCTGTCCTCCGTCCTCAATTCGGGCAAAGCACCTCCAGGCTGCGGTGTGACCTTAGGTAAATCCCTCTCCTACTCTGGGGTTCAGTTTCTCCTCTGTAAAAATGGGACGATAACAACACTGGCTTCATCGGGATTATCACAAAGCTCAACCTGCTCAATCCTAACAACAGGCTTTTATGCTGCGCTCACCTGTGCTGTCCACTGTGATAAACTCTCAGCCTCTGTGAACACGCTTCCTTGCAAGGCCAGAGGTGACGGTGGAGGCAGAGGTGAAAACGGGGCCCTTGGCACGCGGAAGCTCAGCGAGTGCTGGTGCCTGATAACCAGCCGCCTTTCCTTTTCCTGCCAAAGCCCCGCACACCTGGCTGAATGTTCTCGGTCCCCCGGATGAGCCCCCTGTGTGCCACTGTCACAAGTGGCCTGCCCTGTTCAAAACTCCAACAGGATTTGGGAACACAAAGGGGAAAAAACAATACCAAACAGCCGGATCTGCCCCCACTCCGGAAAAAGAACAGAGAACACCAGAAGGCAACCCACCCGGGAGAGCCCCAACCAACTCCGGGACTCCTCCTGCCCAGCAACCATGTCCCCCAACTCCTTGCCCTCGTGGGGTTAGCATTCCCGAGGGCTGGGGCAAGGAAGACAGACAATAACTATGACACTGCCCAAAATTTAAAATTATTTAGTGCTCACCCGGGGCCAGCACCGCTCTAACGCACTCCATTTTCACACCCCGTGGAATGCTCGGTCTTCCAGGAGGGGGCAAAGGATGTTTACAGTAGCTCGTATGGGAGAAGACATACCTGCTATGATTATTACAATAGCTTTATTAACTCTGTGTTTTGCGTACGCATGACTGTAAACCTGCTTTTGCCACCCCTGTATTTTCTTCAGTTTACCAAGAGGAGTCAGAGGTACAGAAGGGTTCAGTGACTTGCCCCAAGTCCAACAGCTGGCAAGTCACGGAGCCAGAATTTGAAGCAGTAAAACAGGTAAGCAAGTAAATCAAAGATCCCGCAGTCCCCACGCCGAGGATTCGCATCTGTTCCTCGTTCAGGAGACTGGGTTCACCCAGCTGATGAATCAGGATATGGAAGCCCAGAGAGGCGACGCTGCCCGCCCAAGGTCTCAGGGCCAGCCGCGGGGGGGGCGGGGGGGGGCAGGATTTAGAGCCAGCGGCCTGACTCCGGGGCTGCATCCGAAGCTCTTCTCCTGGCCACCCACCTCCTCCCTCCAGCCACAGGCAGCCCCAGGACAAGGCAACTTCTCAGCACTGTCACAGGAACTGAGCCAGGGCCACCTCAGGGCACAACATCCCTTGAGGCCCCGAGGGAGAAGGGAGGATGGAGCCAGCTCCCTGGTGAAGCGTCCACTTCCCTGGCCTTGTAAGGATTTTCTGTCTCCTGAAACAGATTGGACGGGCTGCCTCCTCCTAGGCCTCACTCCTCTGCCCCCTCCCTTTACCCTCTCCCGGGGGGCACTTCACTTGTGTTCCAAGTGCTAACATGGAACTGGAGCGGGAATGTGCTGGTGGGGGAGAGAGAAAGGGAAGGCATGGGGGTGCTGAAATTTGAGATTCCAGCCTCAGTTGGGGGAGGTTGGAGAAAGAGACAGAGAGAGGAAGAGAGTCCAGTTGCGTTTGGTTTTCTGAAGCAGGCAGCGCTGGCGGTTTGGTGTTTGCGTGTGCTCGGGTCTGTGAGTGTGTGCGCACGTGTCTGTGTTGTTGTCTTTCCTGCACTCTGGCTGGGAGGCCAGGCCCCCACTGCATAATAAAAGGGCTCTGAGGGCCCCAGGCAGAGCAAGGCCAGTGTACAGACAGGGTGGTAAGCAGGCAAGTGAGGAGGAAGGAAGGGAAAGAGGGAAGAATAGAGGTGAGGGAGAGTCCTGGAACGGGAGCACGAGGCGGTGGGAGGAGCTGAGCAGCTGTGGCATTTGGAGCAAGTATAAATAGCTGTCTGGGTGGAGCTTGGCCAAACAGGGGTTTGCAGCTGCAGCGGCTCCGTGGGCAGACCTATCCACTGTTGGCCTCAGCGGGCGCATCCTGGGCACGGCGCAGGGCCCTTTGGGCTCTGACCGGATACCCATCACCATCACCACATCTTTGGATGCTCTCCCAGCCAGCCATGCTGCTAGGTGGCCTCCTCCTCACTGTGGCCACCATGACAACAGCCCAGCGGAGGGGAAAGGAGGCCGGAGGGCGCCGCCGGGCACACCGAGTCCAGTATGGCCAGTGCAGCTACACCTTCGTGCTGCCTGAGCCCGAGCCCTGCCCTCCAGAGCCTGAGGCCTTCAGGGGCTCCAACAGCCTCCAGAGGGACTCGCCAGCCCCTGCACTGAACCTAGGGGACTGGCCTACCAAGCGGGTGCAACGCCTGGAGAAGGTGCTGGAGAACAACACACAGTGGCTGCAGAAGGTACGGCTGGGCCTGCAGAGGCAGGGGTGGTGGGCAGCGACTGGCAGCTGGAACGTCCACCTCAGGGGTCTTCCCTGGGCTCAGAGGGCCAGGCTGATGGGACCGTTGTCTCTGAATTGTACAGACTGAGATAAGGAGGCCCAGAGAGGGCCAGCAACAGGCCTAAGGCCACACAGCCAGGATGGGCAGGGACAGAACTGGGAACTAGACTCCCTAACTGTCATTCATTCATTCCCCCGATAAAAGCTGGTTGACAGTTGCCATGGCCAGGCCTTCCTAGGTGCTGGGGGCACAACAGCAAAAAGACAGTGCAACCCCCTCTGTACTAGTGGGCATAAGAGGCATAAAGAGATAAACAGTAAAAATCCACTATGTCAGATGGTGAAGCAAAATGAAGGAGGAAAAAAGGCAAGCAAGTGACCAGGGGTAGGTATTTGAGGTCAGATAAGTCAAGAGGAGGTGACATTTGAACCCTGAGAACAACTCAAGTGAAGGAGCAGCCCATGCAGCTCTCTGATGAGGGCGGGGGAGGGAGGGCCTTTACGGCAAAGGGACCAGCAAGGGCGAAAGCTGTGAGGTGGGAACACAGTGGCGGTGGCTGGGGAACGGCAGGATGGCCAGTGTGGCTGGAAGGAGGGAGACAAAGGGGCGACAAAGGTGAGGAGGAGGCAGACCATGTTGGAAGGATGTTAGTTCTTGCTCCGAGAATCACGAGAGCCATTGCAGGGTTCCGGGCAGGGAGACACACACCTGAATTGGTTTGAACAGAACAGACTGGAGAGGACGGGGTGGGGGTTTGAAGCCCAGTGAGGAGGCTCCTGCAGCCGCCAGGCGAGAGGTGACGGAGGCCTGAAGCAGGACAGGGCTGTGGAGCAGGTGTCCTTGGTTGGATTCTGGTATATTCTGAAGGGGGACCTACTGGGCTCAGCTGATAAATTGGATGTGGGGTGGCAGAGATGAAGGAGTTGAGGACACCACTGCTGTTGTGGCCCAAGACCGGGGCCACTCTTAGATCTCCTGTCCTCATTCTTTCAGCAAACACTCCGAGCACCTACTGTGTGCCAGGCCCTGGGGGAGGCACCGAGGTACAGAGCTGAACGAGGCAAGCTTGGCCCCGGGGTGGGCATGGGGCAGGAAGGACACCCTGCAGTGTTGAAGAGGGGTCTGGCCGGCCCCCTAAGTAGGAGCTCCCAAGGGAGAGAACAGGCCCCAGGCCCCAGGCCCAGGAGACAGCCTGGTGGATAGCAGGTAGTGGAGGGAAGTAAACGGATTCCTGGAGCTTTCGAATGCATTAAACAGCAGACAGTAGCTTATAGACAAAGGTGAGAGCAGAGGAGGCAAGAAGGTTCCCCAAGGTGCCTCTCCAACGAACAGTCCCTTCTTACCCCGTGGTTCCCAAATTGTTCAAATCACATTCCCAACCAGCAACATCCGCTCCCTAATATATGCATATTTATTTAATATTTATGTACATGCACATATGTTAAGATAATATGTATAAGGTATGACACAAATGAAAATGAACATTAAAAAGATGACCCGTGGCCCTGAACAACGTGGCTCAGTTGGTTGGGCGTCATCACACAAACTGAGAAGTCATAGGTTCGATTCCCGGTCAGAGCACTGGCTGGGTTGGAGGTTCGGTCCCCAGACCAGGAACACACAAGAGGCAACCGATTGATGTTTCTCTCTCACATCAATGTTTGTCTCCATCTTTTACTCTTTCCCTTCCCCTCTCCCTGGAATCAATTTTTTTAAAAAAGATGACATATAAAATCATGTACATTGAAGTTCTGGTAGTTTCCTCCTGTTTTCCAAAGGATTGCCTTGTGCACACCCTGGGTTGGTCCGTCCTCAAGGTGGAGAGGATGCACGACCCCTATCTAACCAAGCTTCCTCATGCTCACGTTTGCATACACATTGTGCACACACGCAATTTACACCCCTTTGCATTCCTGCCCGGACCATCTGTCTCCTCAGCCCTCACGCACCATCTCCCCATAGTCTTCTGCGCCCAGCCCTCCCACCCCCTGCCCTGCAACACTTCCAGCCTCCCCCATCCCACCCTCAGGTCCCCCTCCAGGGAGCTCTTCGTCTTACACTCTGGAGCTGACTCTCTGGGGGCTCCACACCGCCCTGAAGTCTGTGTGTCTCTTTGGCACCTGTTTCCAGTCCCACCAGGATTATTCCAAACCTCACCCTCCTCAGGCCTCCCTCTTGGAGCCCACCCCGTCCTCTCGCCAGACCATGGCCCTCCTACTGCAACAAAAAAAGGGGCCTGGGAGAGAGGCGACCCTGAGCAGCCTGCCCCGCACCTGCAGATTCACCTCCAGTCCCCAGGGCCTTTCTCTGGCTCAGAGGGAAGGGTCCCTCCAGGGGCCGAGGCCACTCCCCGCCCCGCCGCCCCCAAGGCTGCGAGTCCCATCTCTGCAGCCCCTCACGCTGCTCAAATCAACCGCCCCTCCTGTGTCTCCATCCACTTCTTCCTCCTGCTGGTCCTTCCCCTTTGTGTTGAATCACATCCAAGTATCTTCCATGTTTCAAAAGGAGGAGAAAAAGGGCAGGGAAGAGAGGAAACAAGCCTCTTCCCCAGCCAACAGCTCTCAGAAGTCCACACGCTCTAGCTCTGCTTCCTCACCTCCCATTTCCTCCTCCCCGTAAGGTCACCCCCCACCATCCCACTTCCCACATCCAGCAGCCACAGGTCAGTCTTCATCGCATTTGGCCTCTTGACAAATTTAGTGCTACCTAACACCATCCTTCCAGAAACTGTCTCCATCAGCAAATCCTCATCCAATAAAACATGCTGTTCCAACCGCTCTCCCAACCTCCTGGCCCCACCCTGGACAGCCACCTGCCTCTCCTACCTAGACAGTCGTCACGGCCAGCGTCCTGGACTCCGTGTCTCCACCTTGGCCCCCACGGTGTTTTCTGTGCTCAGCGGGCAGAGCGGTCCTATTCAGTCCTCCGTTAGATCCTGTCCCTCCTCTGCTCAGAGTCTTCCCAGGGCTCCCATCTCTTCAGAATAAGAAAAGTCCTGACTTCCTGGGACACCCCTCCCTTCGACAGCCTCACGTCTCACCCCTGACCTCCCTCAGGTCACCTCCTCAGAAAGGCCCTCGCTGTCCGCGCTGTTTAAAATAGCCGCCCTCCTTCCATCCCTTCACCTGGCTTCGGTTTTCTCTTTTAGCACTTACTGCCACCTGTTCTTCAAAGCCTCTCTTTTGGTCTGCAAGCTACAAGAAGGCAGGGATCATGCCTGTTTTGTTCACTGCTGGGTTCCCAGGACAGTGCCTGGCTCATAATAGGTGCTCAAAACTTGCCTCCTGAATGCACGGATGCCCCTCCAGTGTCTTGGGTTGCTCCTGCTTCTCCCCTCTGAAATGTCAGTGTTTCCCAGGATTTCGTCTCAACCCTTGGTTTCCTCTCACACTCAGCGGCACGGCTCTGGGGGCTGCCCGCCACTCCTGCAGCACTGTCTCCAGCCTGCTCCACCGCGACACCAAATGGGCATCTGCTGGGTTCCTGTGTCCCAAACCCATGATCCTGACCCGTCCTCCTCCAGCCATCTCCCCTCCGAGAGCCCCAAGTGTCCTGACTCCAAAGTTGCCTGACACTCAGCTCTCCCCTCCCCTGCCCACCTCTCCCTCTGTTTTAGGTATCCCCACCCAACCAGCAGGCCTCTGCACCCTGGGGCTGTTCTCCACCCAGACCCCCACCCCAGCAGCAGGCCCCACCCACCCTGCCGCTCCAGCCCACCTCGTCAGCATCCCGTTTCCCCGGCCACCGCCCTGGCTCCGGCCCTGGCTCAGGCCTCATCACCTCCCACCTGGCTTCTCCACCCCAGGTCTCACCTTCTCATCCATCTTTGGCTCCGCTGGGTGCCTGGTGCTTGGGCAACACTGGCTGAGCCAAAGGATGGATCTAAACCAAAGGCTTTCAGGTCAGAAGGTCACCCAGCTCATCCCTTCAGCTCGCAGTGGAGTGTTCTCACCAGGCATCCATCCGCCTAACCTGATCCCACAGGCTGGGGGTGCACTGGGGCAAAGACCTCTGATGGAGGAGTCAGGTAGACCTGGGTTCGCCTCCTGATCCCGGCACTTGCTTGCTGCATGGCTAGAGATGAACAAGTCTCAGTTTCCTCATCCACAAAATGGAGAAAATGACAATATGTCACGGGGGGCTGGGAAGACTGGTGAGATCGTCACAAGCCACTGTCAGCCTGCTGCTGGGCCACATGAGGACATTGTGTAGCCCGCCTGGGCAAGAACACAGTAGGTTGATGGGCTTTCATTTAATTCACCATAATCTCTATTTTGAGCTCTATGCCAGTGGGTGGGGGAAGCTCAGTCAAGTCAGTCCAAGGGTGGCAGGTAATCTCAGGGCTAGGAATGTCACTTGTCCGTGCTTGTGTTCTCGAGGAGTCCCCAGCCATGCTCGGTCTTTGGTGGGGTTCATGCAGGTGTTTGCTCTGTCATCTCCGAGGTAAGGGGCCCTGGGGCTGACCACTCCACGCAGGCCCCTCGGTGTCTGGATCACCGCCAAGTCACTCTGTGCCTGTGGAGCCTGCCACAAGAGCGGACCCATAGGCCTAGACATGCCTGGCAGTCACTTTCCCCTGGGTCCTGCCACTTTGTTCGGTAGCAGCAGAACCTGGAAGATGAGAGCCCATCTCTAGAGCCCAACCGTTGGGATTCAAGACCCATTCTGCCTCTTCCTTGCTGTCTGAACTGGGGCAAGTTGCTTTATGGCTCTGAGCCTCGGTTTCCTCGCCTATAAAGGAGAGCGACACCACAAGGTGATGCACATGAAGTCCTTGGCCCGGTGCTAGGCATGTAACAAATGCTCAGTAAATGTTGGCTCTTTCTATTAGGTGCTTTGCCTGGAAATACAAACATGAGCCCTATCATTGCTGGGTCCTCCCTCCTGCTGGCTGAGACACACGCCCCCTGGCTCAGGAATCGGTAGTATCTGAACGGTCACCTCTCTGTGGCCCCAGT